TGTTTATATTTTTCTGACAAATTAAAATAATTTTCTGTTACAATTTTTAAGTTTGTTTTACATATTACTTAATTTTTCTTAGATTTGTTTGTATTTGCAACTTAACACTTGAATTTCATTGGGACGAATAATTTTACACTTTTTACTTGGAAAGACATGGGTATTCTCACGACGTCAGGATTTTTTATTATTAATTTATTCTTTTTTGAGGTTTTACATTGATACGACAGTTATTTATTATATTGTATTATTTATTGTTCTGTAATTATTATGTAATGTAATAATTAATTTTTTATTATCATATTTTGTTAGTGACATCATGACAAGTTATATTTTATTTTATTGTATATTTTGAACGAATGATTAATGTAACCGGTTTTCTATGATACTATTGTTTTTGACATTGAAAATGACCCGATCGAAACGTCTGTAATGATTTTATATTGATTATATTGTTTATTGAAATATTGGTTCTATGCCCTGTTGATTTCTTTGCAGTTTATAAAGTTTATTTTAAGACTAAAAAGAATTATAATGTTTTTCAAACGTGAAGTATACGCACAGAATTTGTTTAGTAGAACATTTGTATTGATATCTGCAATATATATTGTTTTAAAATTTTTTAAATTGGTAATTTTCAGTAAAAAGAAAATAAAATATCGCAATTAGTATTAAATAACACATTCTAAATGATATTCTTGGAGTATTGTTATAGACGGAATTTTTTTGGTAGAACTTAGTTGATATTTGAACACACATTTTCATCAAATGTTTAAAATTTGCATTTTATAGTTAAAAAAAATTGAAACGATTATTTAATTTATATTGGATTTTTTCTTATTATAAAATCGCATTTTTTAAGTAATAATAATAAGTATAATGATAATTGACTATTACTAATGTCATATTAATATTACGAATGACATTTATATACATATTATCAATATTTATTAATAAATATTAATATATTATGAAAAAATATTACAAAACTATTGAAATACGCATTTTTTTAAATAAAAAGTAAATGAGTAATTAGACTAATACTCGTTTTTACCGTTTTTAACTGTAAAATGCCAATTTTCGAATTTTGAAAAAAATATTAAGATATCAACACGAGCGTATTTCCAAAGAATAAATGTTAGTGTACTGGAAAGATATTACGAAAAACATTGTTTGAAACACATTCTGATTTTTTTAACATTAAATTCATTTTTGCTATTAATGGAAGGGTTATATGGTATATATATATAT